ATATATGACTGTGGGTTATAGTATAAAGAAAGTTTGATAACACTGTACTGTTTTTTATGAAGCACTCTAAGTGTTAAATACAAATCAGTTCTTTTATGTATGGAATTAACTTTCCAGGGAGTCATGTTAGATAAGTAGTCCTGGTATTTCTGGTAGCCATGATCTAACCAGTGTTCTCACCCATCTGCTTTCATGGATTCTCTCTGGAAAGTCAGTCTACAATAGAAGCTTAATAAATCCACCTCAAACTAACCAACCTGCTTGAAAGTGACTCACATGGTTTCACACACAGCACATAGAAAGGGTTGTGTGTTTCATTTCATTTTGTTTTAAGCAGATGGGCAGTTTTCATCTGAGCCTTCAAAGGCCTGAAGACATTGGTTTGCTTTCGTAGTTTCTCTGAAGACCCAGGCAGAGAGCTGACAGAAGAGGAAGGATAGCAAACGTTCAGTTTAACAAAAGGACTCAGGACAGAGTCCTCACATCCAGGAAGTTTCCTTCCAGAGGGCAAGCACAAAGTCATTACATTTCAGAGCCATAAAAGGTTTGATAGGTGCACTGATACCCCAGAACTTTCCCTAGAGGATCTGCATGGGCTCATGGTAACTTACTCTCAATTTACTCAGCTCCTAGCTGATCATTTATCATGGGCTCCCTGCTCCTAACCTTAAAAGTATTAGCACAGCCTCTATCAAAGATCTCCAGGGATTGAGACTGGCTTCTTTCAGCAGAGTGGGTCATACCCAGTCATCCAATCCAGCTTGGGCCAACCCACGATGGTCACCGTGGCTTGCCTGACAGGCAGGGAGAAGGTGGTCCCCATGAGGGTGGGCTCAAGTGAACTGGTGTACGCTGCCCCCCAGGAATCCAGGCAGGACTTGAGCCCATGCAGTACTCAAGCAGAAGGAAACTGGCTTGTCCGGCCCCAGGTGCATCATGAGACCTAGAATGTCTTAGTGCCCATTAAATCCCACGTCTAGTATTCCCACTTGCTTTGTAAACAGTGCTGAAGACAGTTCCCCTTGGGGCTGAGGGCCACTAGAGCTGCCCTAGAGTACTCACATCTTTTTCTACTACTACATATCTACAGAAAGCCCCAGCTGCCTCCCGGTAAGATGTCTGGCATATTGAACCCACAACCAGAATCTGAAAAGGGAGAAAAATCATTCTGGCCATCTGTGTACACACCTGCATGGAAAAGGTGAGAGAGGTCCCTTGGAAATGTCTCTCCACCACTGTCCCGACTCTCTGGGTCACCTGAAACAAATCAGCCACCTCTTCAGGACGAAGTTCGTGGAAGCGCTCCACTGGCCGCAGTGGACACACCAGGACATCTGCAGGAGGACTGTTAAGGAACGCTCTGCTTAAACCCCTGCCCTCCAAGGAAAGACCTTACCAACATGGTTAGCTGTGCTCTGAAAGGAGCCTTGAGTGCACACAAGAGCTTCTGTTCAGAAAAGGGGCATTAGTGTGCAGAGGGACTGCAGCGCTAGCTGAAGAAATTCTAGCAAGAAGAAAGAAGCATCTGACCATTAGCTCCTGACCCCTGTTCTAAAGTTCTGCCCCCTCAGAAGGAGAAGCAGTTGGAATATGCAGGTTTCTCTAGGTTGATCATCATGTTTAAAATTTTAATTTACTTTTTAGCAGAAAGATCGAAATATGCAGTGAATATACAATAACAGCGGACTTTATGTTGAAAAGGGACATAGACGTTCTGAAAATGCCCACTGAGACTCATGTATAACTAATAGATCTGCCATGTGTTTATGCCGTTTATGACAAGGGTTCCTCAAACCCATTGTGCAGAATCCCCGAAAACATCTGAAGGTGATCCACAGCAAAGAGGTGTCTGCTTATACAAAGGAAAACGTCTCACAGTATTTTGCAACCTGGAAAGGCAACATACCTACATTATCAGTCCAAGCAACAGCCGCTAGAGACAAAGAACGTAGTACCTATTTGTAGCAATTAATACTCACTGTTACACTATCAAGAACACTGCAGTTCCTTTTTATATGTGAACTCAGAGCATACATATGCATGCACTCATCTCTGTGCGTGTGTAAAGAGACGCTCAACTTAGGATGGGGGTGCGTCCCAGTAAACGACAGTGCAAGCTGAAAATATCCCAAGTCACAAACGCCCTTCACAGACCTCACCCCTCAAACATCACAGCTCTGCCCATTTCACCTTCAACATGCCAGGGACGCTCACATTAACGAGCAGCTGGGCACGGTGATTTGGTACAAAGCCTATGCTAAAATACAGTGAGGAATATCTATTGTAACTCTCCGGATACTCTATCGAATCTGAAAAGCGGAATGATGACAGAGGCGCATTTTCACATCGCTGTAAAGGTGAAGAATTGTGGCGTCAAACCGTCAGAGAGATCATCCGTGCTTGTATACGCAAAACATATTAATACTTTTTTAGTTTTCAAATACCAGCAGGAGAAAAAGCACTCGTAACTTTTCTATTTCTTTATTCCATTTTTTTTCTCGCCGTTTTAAGAAAGAATCTCTGCCTGGAGCTAAGCAGCGCAAGGGCCTAAATAAAACTACAATCCGACAGTTTCCAGTCTCACTGAGTATCCAGCACTTTCACCCATCGCTGTGTTGGTGGAACTCAGGGCCCAGGGCAAACGCACTGAGATCAGCCAGGCAAGCCCGATTTCCATGAGAGGGGCAAAGAAAGCGGGAAAACTGAAGAACGCTGCTCATAATCAGGAAATTCCCACAACAGTAAACTAAGAAAAGGGGCATTTGCTTAATCTGAGTTCATTTTTCAAGAGAGGAGAAGGGAGGCCTTCACGCACAGGGCATCCGATACTTAAAGAGATAATTATCCTTCTCAGGCAGGGCTGCTTTATTATCATGGGTCAATGAACCGTTTAGAAATGAAGAATTTCCTTTCATTTCCTTTTAGAAGCTTGCCAGCCTCCACTCCCTCCGAGTGGCTTTTTCTGTGCTAAAAGGGACCTTCCCCACCTCTCTCTTCCCTGATTTAATTCATACCCCCCTTAGACTCTGACTTCAGCAGACACAGCAAGATGACAACCAGACTAGCTTCCAACAGCATCCCCGACTGCTGTACTAGGCACCCGAGTAGGGAAAGGGGACATTTCACTTAAACCGTCTCACTGGGGCTGGGATGGGCCTGACTACTGCTGAGTCCAGTAGAACTTCAGTGACATCCAAAAGTTTTCTTCCACGTTAAAAAAAAGAAATCTTGAAGTTTATCAGTTTTGCTTGTCTGATGTTAAGGACTGACTCGACCCAATATTTAAGGACTTAAAAGCTTTATAGAATGAAGAGAAAATGGCAGAGTTCCAGATGCTTTTATACGCACCCGCAGGCACGTGTATTGCTTTTATTGGCCACATCAGCGGTACCAGCTGAGGGGAAGAGGGAGGCAGGCTCAGTGCACTCTCAGCAGATCCGCATTCTTCAGCAGTTCGTTTGAGTAGCACTGCCCTGACAGACACACTCTCCACAGCCCAGTCGTCCGTTATGTGCATGCCATATACAGACTTATGTGCGATGGATGGGGTGCCAAGGGGCATGTGTTCATACGGGTACTCGTCATCTTTGATGGTGCTCAGAGGAAGGCAAAACAGCTTAGCCGGGACGTGACCACGCGGGCAGGTGGGCTCCACAGGACTGCACGGGGGTCGGAGCTCCTGGCTGCTGCACCAGAGGCTAGCTGGCCAGCAGCACAGAGACTGTCCACCACCTTCCTTGGCCCACTTGAGAAGCTAACTCAGTCTCAAACAGCAGGATCAACCATCTTCCCTCAGATTCTTTAAAGCCAGATCCAAAAAGAGTTTATGCCTCCATCTTCCCACAGGCTCCATGCCTGCGGCCCGCCCACCTCCCGGGTGTCCCTTGTTCCCAAGTCTTCCTTGCACAAACCTGCTGCATCTTCTCTTCTGCAAATGATTCGTCTCCTTCTTAGTCCTTCATAACCTGTGCTCTGGCTGGTGTCTGCCTAGAACTCACTTCCCTAGGATTTTCACGTGGCCGCTTTCTTCTTGTCTTTCAGATCCCAATTTCAATCCATCCAGGAAGCATTCCGTACCCACCACTATATATTTCTACCCCGTTACTCTCCTACAACACTGGATTTGACCCTTCCCATGGCCTCGGACACCAGTCTCGAGCTTGCTGTGTGGGTAAGGATATATCCAAACGAGTAAGCCCCACAGGAGTGGGCTGTCTTGACTGCTGCTTGTGACTGATAATCTTGACTGCCAACCGGACTGGCTTGACAGCCATCTAAGAAATCAGCAAAGAGGAAATTGAAAGAAACCAAACATCTTTGGAAGCCTATTCCTCTTTCTAGGGGGTGAAGACCATGATGTTTTCTTTAAATAGTACACTGGACCAAAATCGTTGTATTATCTTTGAAATTTTCAGTGAGTATGAAAAATACCAGTGCCAGGAAGCCCATTGTAAGGACCCTAGGTAGTCCTACTGATGGTTTTAAAACTTAATCACAACCCCAGCAAACAGGTTGTAGTGTGGACATCACATAAATAGATCATGATTATTATTATTTTGTGTGTGTGTGTGTGTGTGTGTGTGTGTGTGTGTGTGTGTGTGTGTACCGGGGATTGAACTCAGGTCCTTGTGCTTTCAAGGCAGGCGGCAGAACCACTGAGCTAAATCCCCGGCCCCTCATGATTATTTCTGATCAAACCCACAATAGGAGTTTCTGCCACTTCTTCTTGGAAAAACCAAAATATGCTTGGTAAACACATAAGAGCAGGCAGACAGCATGCTACTTATAAATTCTCCTAAGAAGCAAGTATGTTCTCACAGTAAGTGCATAAGCCTTGGGAGAATACACGGTATTGGCAGAAGATGGTAAGTGTCATTGCTGCATGATGCTTACAGAGAAACAGTTTGGGGAAAGCAAATTAATTTTGAAGAACAACAGATAGCTCTTGCAATTCTACTGCTACTGTCTATATGCCTTTTGTTTTAAGAGAATATCACAGATGCAGAATAATTTAATTTGGAGGCTCTTAGGCCTTGTTACTTGGTAAATTCCATATTATACCTACCCTACAAAGACATATTTTCTTTTGCGTTCAAAGAAGTCTATTAGTCAGTTGATCTTAACACGTTTTGTCCCATAGTTGTCACATGTGAAACCTATAAAAGGGGTTACCAAGGTAAGACCCGGTCTTTCCCTATAATCTAGAGTAGAGAGATCTATCTGGAAATAACATTTTTAAGGGAAGAGAAGAGCAATAGTTAAAATTCATGTCTTAACAGTTGACAAACACTCCTCACAGTACAGGAAGATCAAAAAAGAATTCTGAGAGCAGATGAGATTTAAATTGGATTTATGAGGGGGAACATGACTTAACCAGTAGGCCAGGTGACAGGCTACCTGTCTGCCCATCCCATAACTAGACCTTCCTTTGTGTCCAGGGTGTAGGCCGTGACATGGGATGCCACGGTGGATAGGGACAGAGCTGGGGACTCTGAAGAGCTTGCCTCTGATGTCCCAACTGCTATGCTCTGTAAATAGATTGCTACCTCACAGACATGATCACTATTGATAGAAACAGCACAGAATGCCGTGGGAGCGGAGAGGAGGCCAGATCCACCTCTACCTCAAGGTGTCAGATAAACTTTCCAGTCTGGTCTTACACTTCAATTTTCTAAACTTAGAGCCATTTCTTCAAATTTGGACCCAAGTCTGTCCTTGAAAATGATTTAGCAACTTATGGTAACTTCAAGAAAAGTTGTCAGGCGATTGATTCTCCCATAGTCAAAAATCAATGTTTCATGGATACATGTACCGTTATTTATTTAATGATAATGCTATGATGGCATTTTTAAAAATAGGTTTTTAAAAATAGCTCTCATGTCCCAGACTCTGCTTCGCCACTTAGTAAAAGGGTGCCCTACAGTCATAGGCTCTCTCTTCACAGAAAAGAATAAGAGGATGCGTAAAACATGAAGATCTTGTGCAAAACTGCTAACGGCTTGAGGAACACTTCTTCTTGGACACAGAAAGTGTATGAGCTATACAATCCCACCGTGCAAAGAGGCCTCCGTGCTTTGTACTAAGTGTGCCCTCAACCTGAGAGAGCTGCAAGAACAACAGAATCACCTCTCACGAGGGGCCACGCCACAAGAAGGGAAGGGGGAGGCAGGGCCTCTATTTTGGCCCTTTTCTGATCCTGACTTTGGGTTTCTTCATGGGCACGTTGGTACTTCTCAGGCACCAGACTCCTGAGGAAGATGAGATATTGCAGTTGATGCCTGTCGGCCGGCCAGGTTATCGGACACACTGGCTCTCTGCTTGTTGAACAGCACAA